TTGATGAATGTATTATTCTCCTTATGTACACTGAGAGCATATACACCATAGACAAATGCCTTGTGTGTCCAATCACACTTGGTCAATAAAGAATTATATTCCATTCTATAAGACATAGCCAATCCATTGCCCAGGAAAGCATTTTGGGCTACTCACTGCAAGAGATGAGATTCACTCACTGAGCACGGAGATCCACTCACGAATGCACATCTTTCAGCTTTAACAGTAAATATAAATATTCCAATCATTCCATCAAAAAGAATTTTATCTGAGGTTCCTTCTACTCTAGGAATGTTTTCCCATCATAGAGCTGTTCTTCCTCCTTTTCTCATATTTGGTGTTATATATCCTTTTCCTGAATACAAAATTCTATTTTTGTGAAATGCTTGATGATTTTCACATAATAATGGAAAAAAATGAAGGGGAAAAAATTTTTTTTTCCCCTCAGGATATAATCAATCACAATACGGAGGATGTGAGTTCAATCCTAAGTAGAGGCAGATATTTCTCTCTCTGGGCATATTGAGAATATATCTGCTGAAGAAAACTCCACATTGGCGACATGAATGGCACCCAGGCAGTAAACACTAGCTCCATTCAGTTGCCCAAGACCAACCATGCAAGGAATTAAAGCAATAGCAATAGCGCTTATATACTGCTTCACAGTGCTTTACAAACCTGTTTAAGAAGTTTACAGAGTCAGCGTAATACCTCCCAACAATCTGGGTCCTCATTTTACCCACCTCGGAAGGATGGAAGGCTGAGTCAACCTTTTGCAGGTCAGGATCGAACTCCTGACAGTGGGAAGGCAAAGTTAGCCTGCAATACTGCATTTTAACGACTGCGTCCCCACAACTTTCCTATGGCATAAGTTTTCCTGCTTGAAGCAGGGGGTTGGACTAGAAGACCTCCAAGATCCCTTTCAACTCTGTTATTCTGTTCTGTTCATGGGTTATGGATGAGGTTAATGAAAAGAAATATGGTGATTCTGGAAAGAAGGACGAGGAGTAGAGGGTAGATGACTAGAGTGACATCCACCAAAGAAGATATGTTGGCAATCACTGGAAGCAATAAATATGAAAAGGTGTTTGAGTTGTAATTAATTTATTTTCTGTTAGTAAAATATTATACAGCGTGATTCCTCTAACGAACCTCAATCAATGCATGCGTAACAAGTACAAATACAAACTCTAAATTTTCTAATCCTCTCATAATGGATAATGGGTCATGGATAAAGCTTATGAAACTGAAATGTTGATGGAAAAGGAGGAAGAGTAGGAGGACGAAGATCCAGCAAAGAAAATATGTCAATGATCACAAGTAAGGCTAACATAAACATGAAAAAAATCTTCAGAGTTCAATTTAATTTGTGTTCTCTGTATAAAATCTTACACAGTGTCCTCAAAGAGCTCCTTAGAGGGTTGTTTGCTGAAGTCTATCATTGTCTGGAAGACGTAGAGCTGAGAGAGCAAATTCACAACGATGACATTTCCTGACTGATACTGCTTGTGAAGAAAAGGCAGAGGGTCACTTATGCTGCATTGAGCTCTACGAATCTTGCACATCATTGGAGGTAAAATCAGACTAACCAAAGCTGCAAATATCATCACCTTCGACAATAGCATTTCCTCTGTAAGCCAATTTCACCGCTCCATCATTCTCTTTCATTAAATATAATTCTACTTGAGCTAATAGCTCAGCCATCCCCCAGGATTTAGAGGTGAATTTGAAGTAATAACACAGGGATTCATAATTGCAATAGAAAAGTCCCCAATTTCAGAAGCAAAGCTCTGGGAAACTTTGAACAAGAAAACATTGCCAATTTAGCTAAGATTACTTTTAGCATCTCATAGTGTAGTAGTAAAACATACAGATGTTTCTGATGACTGAGAGCAAGAAAAGAATCTTAACTAATATTTGTTGTTATTAGTTGAGAAGTTGTGTCTGACCCATCAAAACGCCATGGACAACATTCCTCCAGACCTTCCTGTCCTCTACCATTTATTGGAGTCCATTTAAGCTCACACCTACTGCTTCGGTGACTCCATTCAGCCACCTCATTCTGTCGTCTCTTTCTTCTTTTGCCCTCCATCTTTCCCAGCATGAGGCTCTCCTCCAGTGAGTCCTTCCTTCTCCTTAGGTGCCCAAAATATATGAGTTTCCTTTACAGGATCTGGCCTTCTAAAGAGCAGTCATGGTTGATCTCTCCTAGGACTGACCAGTTCGATCGCCTTGCAGTCCAATGGACTCGCAGAAGTCTTGTCCAACACCATAGTTCAATTGAGGGTGAGCTGAGCACCATCAATTCTTTGGAGCTTAGACTTTGTTATGGTCCAATTTTCATAGCCAAGCATTGCAACTGGGAAAACCATAGCCTTGACTATACACACTTTTGTTGGCAGAGTGATGTCTCTGCTTTTTAGTATGCTATCTAGATTTGCCATAGCTTTCCTCCCCAAGAGCAAGTGTCTTTTAATTTCTTGGCTGCAGTCCCCATCTGTGGTGATCTTGGAGCCCAGGAAAATAAAGTCTGTTATTATCTCCATTTTCTTCCCATCTATTTGCCAGGAATTGAGAGGGCTGGAGAAGTAAGTTTTCTTCACATGTCTTAATGCTACAATAACATTGAACAGAATCACTTTATCGGGGAGGTGAGCGGCATATAAATTTAATAAATAAACAAGATAAAGAAACATGAGCATATATCTGGATTTGGCTAGATTCACTTTTAGACTTTGTTTTTCCAAAAGTTCAGGCATTGTTTATGACACACCCCTGACCAAGAGCTTGTTTACTTATTTATATGTTTATGAAATGTGTATGAAGTCCATCTCTCTACCAAGCGACTCTGGGCAGCACTTTTAGCCAAACCCATCCAATTCCCAGGAAAACTGTAAAAAGGTAGAAAAAAAAGTGCAAAAGAGTAGATGTATGAAAACAAGATGGAATTGTTTAAGTCTGTGGAACATCACAATGCAGGTAGAAAAGGCACGAAATTTGTATTGTGGCAGATATCCCTGAACATAAAGGTAAAGGTTCCTTTTGCACATATGTGCTAGTCGTTCCCAATTCTAGGGGATGATGCTCATCTCTGTTTCAAAGCCGAAGAGCCAGTGCTGTCTGAATACATCTCCGTTGTCATGTGGCTGACATGACTAAATGCCGAAGGCACACGGAACGCTGTTACCTTCCCATCAAAGGTGGTCCCTATTTTTCTACTTGTATTTTTACACACTTTCGAACTGCTAGGTTGGCAGAAGCTGGGACAAGTAACGGGAGCTCGCTCCATTATGCGGCACTAGGGATTTGAACTGTCGACCTTTCTGATTGATAAGCTCAGCATCTTAGCCACTGAGCCACCACGCCCCCTATCCCTGAACATAAATACAAACATTTGTCATATTTCTTCATCTCGGACAGTCGGTGCTGTGGAACTAAGGCTAAAAATATTAGACAAACAATGATTATGATTAAAAACTTTTACATTACAAAAGGCACAACAGTTTAAAAACGATAGAAAAAACATATTAGGCTGACGAGATAGCTGTTAATTACCCTTGAGCCATGTCAATACTTCTTAGTTATCTCCTCAGGTCCCCAAGCCTGAGGAGATAACTGAGTCTGGGGGGATTTCAGGAAAGTTAAAAAGGATGGGGGACAGCCTCACTTCGGGGGTTCCCTTCCAAACACCCAGCTTAACTAATCCCCGTTCAACTCTCCCCCAGAAGAGAGAATTATTACTCAGTGGGAAAACCCACATAATCAGGTTTGTAAGGCAGAGAGGTTCTCCTCTAGAACTGGTTGCTTTGGAAAATAGTTCGACTCTTCGCGCGGCCAGGTATAAGTAGAGCCCATGTACCAGCCCATAGGTAAGAAAAGAGTGACAAACTGGCGTCACGCCGCTAGAAGTGATCGGAGCGGGAAACAGAAAAGGGTAGCCCAGGATTATAACCTAAGCCGCCGCCTTCTCTTCCGATCCGTCCTCCTGTCCGCTCCTGTAGCAGTTCGCGGAGAGGTGTATGGGCGCGATGAGCGCACTAATTCACGGCAGCAAAGTCAGCCTGACTTGCGGCTTTTTCCGTCCCATCCAGCCTGCGAGAGAAAGGGGTACCTGAGCTCATCCCCCGGCTCACTCCTCCGACCTCCAGGCGCCAGTCGAGGTTGGCACCGGATCTATGGGCTTGATAAGCGCGGGAGGACGCAGACGGCGAGTCCATCGGCAACGGCTTCTCCGAGCGCGAGAAAAAAACTTGCTTCTCCACAAAAGGGGAAATAACCGAGAAGACCCAAGTTAGTCATCAGTCCACGTAAGTGCCATCAAAATCCACTAATTCAACCATCCAACGGAGGGGGACAAACCATCTAGTTTTCTGATCTATTAGAAATCTTCAGGGTTTCTTTTTTCTCTGTCTCTGTCTCTCCCTCCCTCTCCGTCTTTCTCCCCTTCTCTCTCTCCCTCCGTCTCCCTCTCTCTCTCTCTCTTCCCCCTTTTCCCTCTCCCCGTCTCTGTGTCTCTCCCTTCTCTCTCCCTCCGTCTCCCCCCTTCTCTTTCTCTCCCCTCTGCTTGTTTCTCTCCCCCTTCTCCCTCCCTCTCTCTCCCCCGTCCCTCTCCCTCTCCCCTTCTCTCTCTCCCCTCTGCCTCTGTCTCTCCCCCCTTCTCCCTCTGTGTATCTTTCCCTCCAGTTCCCTCTGTGTCTTTCCCCCTTCTCTCTCCTCCCTCTCCCCCTTCTCTCTTTCTCCCTTCTCCCTCTTTCTCTCCCTTCTCTCTCTCTCTCTCCCCTCTGCCTCTGTCTCTCCCCCCTTCTCCCTCTGTGTATCTTTCCCTCCAGTTCCTTCTGTGTCTCTCCTCCCTCTCTCCCCCTTCTCTCTCTCTCTCTCTCTCTCTCCTCTGCCTCTCTCCCTCGAAATAGCTTTTCTTGTACCTATGGTTGATATTTTGGTAAGTTTTGTCACATGGTCACTGTTTCTTCTTGTATTTTTTTGTGTAGGTAGGAAACAGAATGGAGGTTGAGAATCTCACCTCTATTAGGGAGTTTCTCTTGTTGGGACTTTCTGCTCATCACAAAATCCAGATGATACTCTTCTCCACATTTCTCCTCATCTATTCTCTTACCCTTCTGGGGAATCTGGCAGTTATCACGTTGGTTCAGCTCAACCCCAACCTCCACACTCCTATGTACTTCTTTCTGAGCCATTTCTCCTTCCTGGAGATCTGTTACACCACTAGCACCATGCCCCAAATGTTGGCTCACCTCCTGTCAGGTAACGGAACCATCTCCTTTATCCGTTGTGCAATTCAGGGGTATATAAGCACAACTTTCGGTGGCACGGAATGCTTTCTGCTGGCTGTCATGGCCTATGACCGCTATTTGGCCATCTGTCATCCCTTGACCTATGCTATAACTATGGACAAGAGGCATCGATGGATGCTAACCACGGTTTGCTGGGCAATTTGTTTCCTAACTTCAGCTATCAACATCGCTGTGACTTTTCAGCACACTTTCTGTGGCTCCAACCATATCAACCATTTTTTCTGCGAGCTACCCTTAGTAGTTAAGCTTGCATGCGGCGACACCAATATAACAGAAATTATTCTGTTTTGGACATCGGTCCTGGTAATCGTTAGTCCACTTATAGTTGTTTTGACCTCCTACGCACGTATCCTGATCATGGTGTTCCAGATGAGGTCAACAGCTAGTTGGCACAAGGCTTTCTCCACCTGTGCCTCCCATTTGGCAGTGGTCACCTTGTTCTATGGCACCCTCATCTCTATGTACCTGAAACAAAAGTCTGAGTCGTCTTCCAATCTTAACAAACAAATTGCTGTCTTTTATACTGTGGTGACTCCCTTAATCAACCCTATCATTTACACCCTGCGGAACAAGGATATCCACAAGGCAGTGGCCAAAATTCTAAAACGGAGGCCCTAAAGGCAAAATAACACAAGGAGAGATTCCCTAATGCCTTTAACTGATCCAGTTCAATTATTTTGTTTAACTGGGTATTTTTCAGATGGTTCAAAACTTCAACTTCCAGAAACTCTCAAAAAGGGTGAGATTTCCCCAACCTGGGCATAACTCCATGTCCTTCACAGAAGGATACATATTCTCTTCCTGTGGTCTTCTCGGGTTGGATCATCCTGAAGAAAGGCTTCTACCTTAATATATCATAGTCCTCTACACAGTGGTGGGATTCAGTTAGGTTTACCCCTGGTTTGCAACTGTGAGTACGTATGCATGCAGCCTTCCATGAATGCACTTTGCTCACGCACGGGGCACTGAAAACGAGGCTACATAGGAAGTTTTGGAGCCGGGGTGTGTGTGTCCAAACCGGCTGAATACCACCTCTGACTCTAAGTAACAGGAGAACCTAGGTACAGTATTTTGTAATATTTAATGTCCTTGTTCCTATTAACAGGCTTGATAGTGTTTCTCATCATGCTGGATCTGGTGGCTTGTGCTTCTGGAAGCAGAGTCATAGGAACTGGATCAATAGATATTAAGGAGTTTAGAACCTTCTATTGCTTTCTGGTAGCTGGAATTCCATTAGCCCTTGTATGAGCATAATTCATGGCGTCTTCTCTAATGAGTAGGCAATAAGTGTGAGCAAATGCATCAGCCATGTTTAGAAAGTGTGCCATGCGCTGTGAAGTCTAAGCTGTGAGTTTTGTAATCAATGAGTTGCTTTTCCAGGTGCCTTTTTCTTCTTCTAGACAACTAGGTAGTAAAAATTTTCACACATCTGCTTTCAAAGATTCTCACAACATAATTAAGTAAAGCCATTTTAATGCAATGCATGACTCAGTATTCTGAGTTAAATTCACTAACTGATTTAAATATCCCCTTTTTAATGTTCTCACAACACTCTACCCTTTCACTGACCTGTAAACAGAGCCTTAATATAATTTGCATTTTAAACACATTGTAGTGTATAATATTGTTTTAAGTTAAATTCAAAGACAGACCTAACATGTCTATTGGCAGATAAGCCCAAAATTCTAGGGGCCAAAATCACACCAAAAATTCAGTTTATCCACAGATGGGATTATCCATGAGAATATGTGCTGATGCTTTTCTAAAATGTTTATATTTCCCATATATACTTACATATAAATAAGATAAGCAGAACCTCGAATTATGAATCAAAATACCACAAAAACAAGCCATTTTACTTATTGATGGCTTATTTTTCTTTGTATACAGGTTAAAATATTAGAGGTTCTTGCTTATTCATGACTGGACTTACACAACAGCATGTATAATTTTTTTCCCACATGAGAGCACATGGTGAGATGGTTGATTCCTTAAGAGAAATGCTAATTTTTCCAGATTTTCATTATTTTAAATTTTTTAAAAAGTTTTTACTGTCTATGCCATAATTCAATATTGCGCAATGTGATACTCAATGCTTGAAGATAGCTAAATTTTACAAATACACCTTATTTTTAAAAGATTGAGCAGCCTTTAAAGCAATAAAAATCAAGCAGTAACCAAGCCATAGTTTCAACATTGCAACTCCTGCTTTTCCCAATATAGAAAAACCGTTAAATCTCTTTAAAAAAACTCTTTTTATAGCTTTTGTAAAATAAAGGCAACTATTGGAAAAACAAGGCAACATTGGGAAAGATAAAAAATATTTTGATAATATACTTTGCCAAAAGGGGGGGAAAATACACTCTCACAGAAAGTTCTTCTAAAAAGTGGGGAGGGGGGGAACGAAAAAGAAAAAAAAGATGTATCATTTTAGCAGTAAATACGGTATTTAAAATTCTATTAGACAATATTATCTAATGTAATTATTATTCAAGTACATATACATATATGAAATTGACTTATATAGTTATAATTTTAACTTACTATATTTTGTTTAAACGAGCCACATTATATTTCATTATATTTGTCCATATACATTTTACATCTATAGGCAGTCCGCTGACTGCATTGAGTGGAGAGCCATATATTTATCTTACCAATGCTATAATGTCAGTTATTTGGCCATAATAAGGATGCAGAGAATCCATTTCTGTTGCCCAGTTGTCAAATTCCAAATACAAGGAATGTAGTTCAAAAGAATTTTATTGTCTGAAAATTTTAGGTTTTTTTTCTTACAAAATTATATTTATGTACTCTAGTACTTTTTCCCAAAACTTGGTGAGTGCAAGACAGTATAAAAACATGTGTTTTAAAGAACCAATATCCTTACTATATCTCCAACAAAATGTTGTTTTTGAAAATCCTTTTATATACATACACAACAGAGTGCAATATATTCTAAATATTTTTTTTCTATAAGTCATAATTTTAGGTAGGTGACATTCTTGCCACAGAAGTTCAAACAGTCTCTCATTGTGTAGGCCAGGGGTGTCCAACTCAAGGGCCAGGGTCAGATCCAACCCGGGGGATGCTTAGCTCTGACCCGCAGGGTTGCCCTGGAAACAGGAGGCCTGCGTGGCCTCTGCCAGCGAAAAACCCGACCTTCCTGAGCTCCATTTTTGCTGGCAGAGGATTGCAGGAGGCCATTTCAGCCAAAAATGGAGCTTGGGAGCCCATTTTCTCTGGCAGAGTGCTCGAGCTGCCACAAGCGCCCCCGACACGAGTGATGCTGGCCATGCCGCCCCAGCCATGCCCACCCCCCAGTCCCCTGAGATCAAACACGACCCTGAGGCGGCCCTCAGTGAAATCGAGTTTGACACCCCTGGTCTAGGCATAATAAAACCTAAAATTATTTATCACATTAATTTCTTAGGATCTTCATATCATATTGAATTATTGATAACAAATTTCTTTAAAAATGAATAGGTTTTTGTTTAACGTAAAGGATTTAACAAGTTGTTGTAGTAGCTCAAGTGTCTCAAAGCTAAAAAAATATTGCCGGTCCAATGTTGTTAACAAATAATGTAACTGTAAATATAACCATTAGGATACATAAGGTGGATAATTTTTGTGTCCTAACACAGACTATGTGAAAAATTTCACCATCCTCTATTGGTTGGTCCAAATTCAGTAGCCTACTTTCCATCCAATTTTTCCATATCACACCATCGTTTCAATCTCTCTTGAAAAAAAGTCTTCAATTCATATTCTAATCTCCTTGTAATTTTCAAAGGACTTCAGAACTGCCATCAAGTCTGTGTCTGGAGACAAGGTATCACTACTGAGAAGACCCTGTTTTTGGGCCACCATTTCTTTAACCTGAGAGTGTGATGAGTGACTGGAACTGTCCCAAAATTTAGAAAAAGTCTCTTCAGGATTGGTTTAGAAGTACCCAAGCAGAGGATGGGCTTAGAGGCATGATAGACTTCATTTTTTTTTTTTTTTGTATTCACATACAATAATCAAACATCAGAAGGGACGTGGTGGCTCAGACATTGAGTGTGTCTATCAGAAAGGTCGGCAATTTGGCAGTTCGAATCCCTAGCGCTGCATAACAGAGGGAGCTCCCATTACTTGTCCCAGCTTCTGCCAATCTAGCAGTTCAAAAGCATGTAAAAATGCAAGCAGAAAAACAGGGACCACTTTGGTGGGAAGGTAACAGCGTTCCGTGAGCCTTCGGCATTTAGTCATGCCAGCCACAAGATGTCTTTGGACAGCGCTGACTCTTCAGCTTTGAAACAGAGATGAGCACTGCCCCCTAGAGTCGGGATCAACTAGCACCCATGTATGAGGGGAATCTTTACCTTTACTTAATCAAACATCCTTTGGTAAGTTGCTCCAAGTGGATGGAGTTAGTTTAATTGTGTCCACCATCCCTAAAATGTTTAAAATGGTGAAGAGTGGTCAGGGGAAATCTCATATAATATTTTTTAAACATTTTGTCTAGATTAGCCCGAAAGGAAGGGCAGATTCCAATATGGATTCCATCTGAAAAAGTTATAGGTAATTGTATATAGCCTTTGCTTCCGAATTATTCAGTGCTCTCTCAGGTTGTCACTCCCAAAGGATCTGGTTTAAATGTCTATGGAGATTTGCAATCATCGAAGTCATGGCTGTCCCAAAGGTGCTTTTTTTCAAGAGGCAACTAGAGCTGAAAAAGCTGAAGAAGAAGCTTCTCATCCAAGAAGTTTCTTCAGCTCTTCAGAGCTTCTTCTGAAGCACCATCTTGAATGAGAAGAAAAACCAGGAAGTCTAGTTGCCTCTTGAAAAAAGCATCTTTGGGGGTCTCAGATTTGCAGCCACATCTGCCATGGGATACGTACAGCCACATAGCTTCTTTCTCTCCTACAAACTCCTGTCTCTCATCCAAAGCTTTATTTGTAGAGGCTGAGGGAAGGGCTGTGGTAGAAGCACATGTAAGCATCACAGAGCAAGCGGCGGGCATAAGAGGGTAAAGATTTGGGATCCAAAGTTTGCAGAGCTTCAATGGGCATTTCCAAGTAATCTGCTACCTCTGAACAGGGTGTGACATGGGGGATATTAAAGCCATTCAATCCACCTTGGGGAAAAAAGAAGAAGACAGGCATAAGGATGGAGGGTATGCATGGAAAGAAACAGAGGGGAAAGTAAATCAACTTACTGTTGGAATTCCAACCTTTGATCAGTGAGATTTCGGCATTGAGAAACACTAACAATAGCATCTTTGAAGATTCTTCCATTACTAACTTTTCTGAAATTTGGAAGATATTTTTTTTACCCCAAGGCCAAGCAAAAATTCCCATTGAGTCCCCATGTTTGCTTATAAGACCATTATAAGATATTTATCCAAGCAACTAAACATCTGGTTTAGACTTCAGGCAACTGATAAAATGGCTTCTGTTTACTTTTTAAATCCCATTTATAAAGATCTAGATTCGGGTATGTATCTCTTTTGCCTCCTGCTCTTGCAACTTCTGATTTATGGTAGTTGGTTAATTAAAGCTTCCCACACAGTCAAGGTGTGCAAATAACCTCGCCTATAAACAATAATGTAGAGGGTATGAGAATGATTCAACCAA